TGGCCTCTCAGTCCAGCGGGGTACTGCTCGATCCTGGGTGCTGTAAGCCAGGGGTGTTCCCCTCACAGGGGCACCTACATCACTGCCCAGACTGGAAGGTAGACCAGAGGCAGCCAGGGGCTGGGGAGGGGGATGGGAGTTGAGTTTTGTGGGTACAAAGCGTCAGTCTGGGAAGATGAGAAAGTTCTGGAGATGGATGGTGGCGACATTTGCACAATGAATGTCCTGCATCTGAACTCTGTAAAAATCAGTAAAAGGGCATGGTTTCGTATTTTCCAGGACTTTTCAAAGTGAAAAGAAAAGCAAAAACCCAAATGTATCTTATTTCCTGGAATAAATACGCTTTTTTTTCTTTGGGCTTCCAAAAAATCTTTGTGACATTAACATCAACAGCAGTGACATCTTGTCATTTCTAAATCAGCTTTCAGGGTCAGGGAGCATGGGGGGATCTGACAGCAGGAAATAGGCTCGGCCTAGGCAGAAGAAAAGGAAATGATCATTTCCCTGCTTGTCTTCAACACTGTTTACGGAAAAATATTCTGCCCTCTTAGATGTTTGGCCTGTGGGTAAGCCGGAAACCCTGAGGGTCAACATCTTTACTCTTTGTTTCCAAGAAAGGCCTGCAAGTCAGTGTCTGAAAAAGAATTCTTAATTAGAGAGAGCAGAGCAAGAAATGGAATCTCAAGTTTATCTATTTCTTATATCACCTCCTAGGCAGGAACTCAAACACTTAAGGGTATTCAGATTTTTCCCAGTTTATAAGCCATGGGCTTAATCAAATTTCTTAAGATTTCATACCATTCCCTAATTTTTTTCCTCTATTATAAAGACTTTCCTTGGACCCCAAAATGGTTAAGTAACAAAAGCCTTTTGCATTCCCAACAACTCCAAAAAGTTTCTTTCTTTTACTTTGTTTTAATTCCCCCAGCTGCAGAAAAAATGGACTTTAAAAAATCCCTTATTTTATATGACCATGAATTTATTTTCCACTAAATGCATTTCATCAAAACACACATAATTACTGGTTTAGTTATGGCTGGGGCGTTCATTCCCCCTTCTTGAGAGCAGAATGGGCGCCTGCCTCAGTTCCTCAGAACAGTTCTGTCGGGAGACTCGCCCATTCTGCCCATTTGATTGACTGAAGTAGAGTTGACATAGGCTATTTTAACTCAGCAGTGCAACATAATCACGCCTTGGGAAATGATCCCCCAAAAGTCTATGTATCATTGGCACCTTCCACATCCGCAATACCATATATTTGATCCTCATCTGCTTGCTGTGTGTTCTAACTTCTTGACTTACTTATTTCATAACCGGAAGTTTGTACCTCACTTCTACCGCCCCTCTCAGGTAACCACCAATTATTTTCTTTTAAATGTTTAAAATTCGTAGTGACCGTAGCACTCAGCAATCGACCACTTCTGTTTTATCACTCGCAGTCTCTGTCTACAGTATGGACCCCATACTGCATAATTTTGTTCTTCTATCAGTGTTTTCCCTGCTGTTCAAAGTTCAGTAAACATTTTTATTAGCATCCTGATATTCCATCCACAATATATTTTAATCACTGGCATAGTTTATTTATTCCTTTGCTAAATATATATATGTATTTTTTATTTTTGCTTATAAGAACTGAGGTGTAGGTCAGAGGTGCAGGGGTAAGCGGGTTCCCCAGAGGCAGAGTGGGGAGCAGAACAGGCAGATGGGCTGAATGCACTGCTGAGGGGAGCAGCGGGTGGGTCAGGAGAGGTCTGCTGTGCCCTATGGGTCAGCTCCCTGGCTGGGGGTCAAACTCACCGCCACAGTGGCTGGTGATAGTGTAACAGGGGGGTCCTCAGGAAAAGGGGAATTTCCAGGTTCCCTGCTCCACCCAAAAGGAGGGTGGAGCTGAGCAGAGGGAAAAAAGCTAGAGAGGAGACTGAGGAGGGAGGAAGCAGGATGGCGCCAGGAGGAGACCTGAGGGAGGCACGTGGAGCAGAGACACGTGAAGAAGCCGCTTTGTTTCGGGCCTTGGACTGGGTGAAACAGACGTGGGTGAGAGACCCGTGGGCAGGTGACTGTGGCTGCATTTATCTTGATTTGATGTTGCTCTTTCCCTCCCAGACCTGTCTGGCCATTGCTGACTCTTTTCCATGGGTCCCGGCCAGAAGGTGCTTTAGTCTGTGGCAGCTTTCAGGCCTTGCTTGGGCCAACCCTTTTGGGTGGACTTTTACTCACGAGGGGACGGGTAACTTCGAGTGTTTGATTTAGAGACTATTTTCTTTGTCTTTTCTGTATTGCACCTCATTGCATTAAAGTTCCTTTCTGTCAAAGGTCTTACATGTTTTGTCCTGACACAGCAGATAGCAGAGCCCATTTGAGAGTGGGCGGGTTTGTCACTGCCCGGTAACAATAGGTTGGTATTGCTGAGACTTGACCCCTGCACTATCAGGGAGGCCCATATTTTATTTATTCTTTATCATACCTTACTTAAGTGAAATTGTTTTGTGACTATGTTTATTTTATTGTTATTAAAATACTATTATTTTACATCCTTGTTAGTGTTTCCCAATCCCAGGTGTGGTCAGAGTAACCCTCCCTTCACTAAAGCATCCACAGTCCTTCATAATAGTCCACTGTGTTCTACTCCTCAGCCCCCCTTTCATTCCCCTCCTTTCTCTCCTTCCTCTCCCCCCAACCCCCCAACAGCCTAAGAGTCACAGTCAGTTTTCAAGCATTGTTTTTTTCTATATTCCACATGTAAGCCACGCTATCAGTACTCCCTGCTTCTGGCTTATTTCACTGCGTATAACCCTTCTAGCTCCTTTCATGTTGCTGCCCATGGCATGGGTTCATTTTGATGGCTGAGTAGTATTTCATTGTTCTTCTGTATCACCTTCCATTGTGTATTATACCCCGTCTTGATGGCTCATCTGTTTTGTCATGTAGGCTGTTTCCATAGCTTGGCTGTTGTGAACAGTGCTGTTATAAACACAGCAGTGCTGGTTTCTCCCATTTAGTGCTTTTGTATTTTTTTTTTTTTGTAAGATTTATTTATTTATTCATACAGAACTGGGGTACAGGCCAGAGATGCGGAGGGTGAGAGGATTCACCAGAGACAGCGGGAAGCAGAACAGGCAGATCTATGAAGTACACTGCTGAGGGGAGCAGCGGGCGGGTCAGGAGAGGTCTGCCACGCCATGTGGTCACCTCCAGGGCAGGCGGGAATCGAACTCATGCGGAAGTGGCTTTAGTTTCTCAGTGCAGTGCTCCAACCCGCTGCGCCACCAGGGAGGGCCCCAGTGCTTTTGTATTTTTTAGACACGACACATGGTACTCAGTGCTGTAACAAACACCTCTGTGATGAATTACTTGCTCACTCCCATTTTGAAAGGATCTTTAGTGGAGGCACAGAAGCAGGATCCCTGGGCTAAGAGACCACATGTGACACCTGTGATGCTTCCTCAGAAGGATTCTTGACGCAGAGCCCCTGGCACCTGGAAGACAGTCAGCAGAAGGCACAGCACAGGTGAGCTCCTTCCTAAGGCCCTTTCCAGCTGGTAGGTCAGGTGGAAGGTTAAACCCGGCATGTTCTTGTGGCGAGAACATGACTGATCTTTGCTTCCTGGGCACCTCCCTTCTACTTAGGGTCTTTAAAATCCTTTTATACAGGAAAGCCACCTATTAATATCCTCTCATAGTCTTTAAGTTTCATTATTAGCAAAATCTATTTCTCTTAAAGAATAAAATGTGGGGGGCCCTCCCTGGTGGCGCAGCGGGTTAAGGCACAGCACTGAGAAGCTAAAGCCACTTCCGCATGAGTTCGATCCCTGCCTGCCCCGGAGGTGACCACATGGCCCTCCTGACCTGCCTGTTCTGCTCCCCACTCTGTCTCTGGTGAATCCTATCACCCTCCACATCTCTGGCCTGTACCCCAGTTCTGTATGAATAAATAAATCTAAAAAAAAAAAAATTAAAAAAAAAAGAATAAAATGTGGGAAACATTTTAATTCCTGAAGTTCTTTGATTTTTTGGTACCATTCATTTAAACTGTAGAAAGTAAATTCCAGTTTTCAATACGGGGTTGGAGCATTTGAGCCGTTTGGATGTCCGAAGCCAGTCCAGGCTTTCTGCCTCCAGGGTCGAAGGAGGGACCCTGTGCTGGGGTCCGTGGCCTGCAGTCTTCCTCCAGGCCTGGGTGTCACCCGGCCTGCTAATTGAGTTCCGGCTCATTGAGGCGCTTTTTAAGCCCAACGGGTGGCTGACCGGAGGAAAATTCCACTTCTGGCATCATGCTTTTCCAAGGCCCCTCATTTCTCTGCGTTCCCACACGCTCCTTCCCAGCGGGGTGGGGCAGAGCCACTGGGCCATCTCAGGGGCCAGCACCCAACACGAGGCGGGCTGAAGCCTCCTGTGGACGAACCCCCCTCCGCACCCCCAAATGGTGCAGAGGCTTTAAAGGGACGGGAGATTGTCCCGAAACCTGGGGACTTAGGTGCTCGTGCAGAGGGCGCTTGGAACCACAGAGCTTCGGGAAAAAATCAGGGATCCTGTCATCTGCCGCGCGCGATAAGGTCGGGGGGGGGAGCGGGATTGGGGGGCTCCGCCTGAGCCTGCAGTCGGCCAACCCCGGAGGGAGGCGCGGCCGCCGCGCTCGGACCCCCTGCCCTGACTTCCCGATCACCTTCCGCCGCCCCCTCCCTGAGCTTCCTCCACCCCGCCCCCGGCGCCCCTCTAGGGTTTCCTTTGTCGCCTCCCCACCCTGACCCCCGCTTCCCGAGCTCCTCCCGGAGATCCCTATCTCGCTCCAAGCCCAGTGGTCCCCGGCCCATCCCTGTTTCCTTAGCCCCTCCCGGGGCACCCCGTGTGCCCTCCCCCGCGCCCGGGTTTCCCGTGTCCCCTCCCCGCCCCGCCCCCGGTTTTAAACCTGGCGCCGAGCTCGGGGAGGTGAGCGCCCTGGCCCCGCGGTTCACCGCGCCGCTGCGTGCAGGCGCCGCTGCTGGGGCGCGCTCAGCGGCACCATGAGACCCGAGGCGGAGCCCGAAGCCCGCGAGGTGCGGGGGCGCGGCTGTCACTGCCCGGTGGACGGCCCCCGAAGGCCATCGCCGCCGTGCGGGCCCGAGAGGTAGGGTGTCCCCGCGCCCCGGTGGGACGCGTGGAGAAGCGCAGGGCGCTTGGTACGGGGAGCACAGCCGGTGGGATGCCCCAGGACCCCCGCGGACTGGGAGCAAGTCCTCAGCCGGGCTGAGAGGTGCAGGAGGTGCTGGGCAAGGAAATGGGCCAGATCTTCCGCACACACGTCTGAAATTCACCGGCGCAGCAAAGCTGAAGTCTGCGGCCCTCCGCGAAGCTGGTAGGGGGTCCTCGGCCTGCCACCCTCTTGATCGCGGTGGGTCTGGCACGAGCCCTTACAGGGCCTTAATCTTTAAGAAAATCGATTTAGCAGGGAGGTGCAGGAAGGGGTTGGGGATCCTTGCAGCCCAGGGGAGAAATTGATTTGTTTGTTGGGACTTGGAAAGCTACTGCCAGCTTTCAGATCCTTCCATCACCCAGGCGGCTGGGTTGAACTGGTTGACAGTGAAAAGGAACCAGATATAGTGAGGAATCTAAATGGAAGAATCCAGAAAGCTGGGAGAGAAATCCCTCAACTAATGTTTGCTGAAATGTCAGACTTATGACTTCACCAAATCCCAGGGAAGGCAGAGACTGGGCGACCCAAAACCCCGCAAGTGTCACTGCTCTGTCCACAGCAGAGAGCTGAGCATTCGGGCCTTTTCAGGCCGGCATTAGAAATGATCCGCCTAAGGTCTTACGCTGGCGTTTTAAAACACAGAAGTGCTGGGCTTCACTCTCTCGTCCTGCAGCCCCACACCTTGGAGACCCTGGGTCCAGACCCGGCGGGATGCCCGGCCCACCAGAACTGGAAGCCCGGTAAGGAAAACGTAGGCTTTGTAAGTATCAAAACCAGTTCAGCCCGAAGTGGCACTGTCTCTGCAGGGAAATGGCCTTGGGCCGCCTGGGGAGCCTGCCTCTGCCTGGGAGGCCAGCCCTGCTGTCCTTTGACTTTGGGGGCGGGAGACTGGGGAGCCCCCCCCCCCCCCCCCCCCCCCCCCCCCCCCCGTTGATCAGGCTTGAATCACAGTAGATTGGGTCCAGCTTGCTTCTACCCTTCTTGAAAAGCAAAGTCACCCTGGCTGGTTTCACCGCCAGTGCTGAGAGCTTTCTCTGGGGGGGGGGGGGTCCCCTGCCCACACTCCGCCCCAAGCGAACCAGCAGGTAGAAGAGTAGGGCTGGTTTCCTCAGACCTAACCTTGGAGAAAAGTGGGGTGTGTGTGAGTGCTGGGCTGGAGCCGCAGTGCAAATAAGGGCAGAGCCCGTCTGGGGGTGCCCAGAAGGTGTGGCTGAAGGCTCCCACCGCTGGCGTCTGGCCCTTCAGGAGCACTTTGGGCCCTGTCTGCAAAGCCCCGGGGGCCACTCATGTTGTCTGAGCAAACACACTCCAGCCAGGGCTTGGTGGGTGAAGATTAATGCGATCACTTTTCTTTTGTTTCTTGAACCGGTCACTCAGTTGCTTTATATTTACTGAAGTTGCATAGAATTTGTCATTCCTTTGTTGTATTTTGGAATATGAATTAGTGACTTTGACGACTCTGAAGAATTAATCCCACTGGGAAGCACCTGCATTTAAATTACATAACACATTTTGGTATATGACTGGCCGTGCAGTTATTTGTACTTTAGAAATTCTGGTGTGGAAAAGTGGACCTTCTCTGTCCCTTGGTGTTTAGATGATGTCTGTAAATGATCTGAAGAATGGGAGCGTAAATTCTATTACTATTAAATACTGAAGCAATGTGAAGACTGTGTCAAATTGACAAAGGAGATGTCAAATTATTCTTACAGAGTGTATCTCAATAGTGGGAAGTAATTTCTCCTTTTGCATTCAAGCTTAAGTCCTTAAACAAAAGATTTAAAAGGTCCTGGGGAGAGAAAGAATATAGAAGTTTATGATTACCAACTTTTTTTTAGGAGAATGTGTGTGAAGCCTGTCAGTTATTGTGAGAATGCAAATTCTGTAGCACACTTCCTAGTGGAAGGCAAGTGGCTTTACTCCCTATTTTTGAGGCCATTTGTGAGAAAGATGAAGGTTACTTGCAGAAAAATGTTAAGCTGTAGCCACTTTCCAGCTGTACACTGGGTGGATGGCGGGGAGGGTAAAGGGTGGGTGTTCTGTGGGTGCTGTGGCATTCGCTGCGCCGATTTCTCCCGGGCTAGAAGTTTGCAGAGTTGGGCGGAGCCGTGAGCAGCGGCGACCACAAGCCTGGCTTCCGCGCGGATACCCGGGAACCCCCCTCGAACCCCAAGGCAAGGTGCAGGCCGCGAGGCGCAGAGAGGGGACACTTGTGGCTGAACAGCACCCTCTCCCGCCTAAGCAGGAGATTGCCTCGGTTGCGAAGCCTGGCTGTAAATGTCTTGAAATACAGTATGGTGGAGGGAGTGAGGAGAGTTACTTTGTGACCAATATCAGACTGTCGCCGATCAAAAGAGGATAAAATCAAAACTCCAAGGAGGACCTCAAGGCCCTATGACTTGGATAGCAGGATCACCCTCTCCTATTGGGGGCCACCTCAAGGGAACGGTTTTTCCTCATCTGCTTAGGAAAAACAATGCTCAGCCTACACCTTTGTTGACTTATGTTACATTACCTTTCTGGTCACTTGCTGGTCCTGCCAGAGGCAGTTTCCTGGGAGACCCGATCACCCATGCTTCCCACTCCCTGGCTTTGTTGGGGTCAGTCATAACTGCAGATGGGAGGCTCTGAAGGAGTCTCGACTTCATCTGGTCGCTAGCTTTGCGGTAGTGTATACACACGTGCACACACACACCTCAAACACAGCGCTTCACTTTTATACATTTCTGTTCCGTTTGAATCATCAAACGGAGTAAGTAGACAGGCCATCATCAGAAAAGGATCTCTAATGAGCGGATATTTGCGATATGAAGTTTTTAAAGTTTCACAAAGTTGTGCACTGTGTTTCACAGAGTTGGAGATGAGTTGATTACTGAAGGAAGTTAGTTTTTCTCTGCATCTACCAGCACTGCTTTTTGGGGTTCACCCACCCAAGTCTGCACTGTCTGAGTAGCAAGATATCCTCTTCCACCAATACGGTAAACCACTCTGGCAGCACAGACCTGTTTATGGGGATAGACGGAGCCTGAGCAGTTAAGGGTATTCTGTATTTATAAACGAGTTCAACATAGGGGTGATTTCCTGGAGCCCCTAAAAAACTGAACTTCATTATGGGGAAGACTGTATTCCAAACAGCTGTACCTGCTCTTCTTTAGCTCCCCAGACAGCACTGTAAAAAGAGGGCCCATTAAAATATAGTGATA